TGATGTCTCAGTTTCTCCTACCTCGTCTGCATCATCTGCTGCTCCTCTTCCTTCTTGCCCAGCTGACCTTTAAGCTCTTCTATCTGGGACTGCAGCTCGCCTATCTGGTCCTGGAAGTCGGAAGTCTCCCCATCCAGCTTCCTCTTGGCCTTCTCCAGCTCCTGGCGGGTCTTCTCCTCTTTCTTCAGTCTCTCTATGTGAGAAGAAAAGACAGCGGTTTAATATTCCATGACACGTTTCATTGAAGTGTGGTGGAAACGATGGTGTATTCTGTATTTCGGTTCACTCCGTTACCCTCCAGGTCGACCATCATCATCTCCTGCTTATTCTTGACCTTTCCCAGGTTCTTCGCCTTCTCTTCCTCTTCGGCTAGCGTCGAAGTCATCTCGTTGATCCTGTCCTCAAACAGCTTCTTTTCCTAACGAGTGAAGACAGATACAGGAAGGTTAGCGCACAGATAGCCTCGCAGATAAAACAAAAAAACCTCCAGCGGCATCAACACCCTTTTCTACCCAAAACTCTTTGCTTTGCAGACGATCAGCGACTTCTCCGTCTCACCTTTTGAAACTTAGAGTTCTGGTCCTCTAGCAGCAAAATGTCCTCTTCAAACTTCTTCATCTTAGCTTCAGCTGTCACCTTCTCCAGCTGCAGCTTCTGCCTGGCAGCCTCTTCTTCATCCAGCTGTTCTTCCAGATCCTGGATGTGGGACTGCATCTTTTTCTTCTCGGTCTGCATTCCTTGGGTCCTCTCTTCTTCTTCTTCCAGTCTGGACTCCAGGTCGTGCAGGATCTCCTCCAGCTCTTGCTTTTTGGAGGCCAGGCGAGCTCTCATCTCTTCGGCCTCCGCAAACAGCTCCGTCTCCGCCTGCAGCTGCTCCGCCAGGATGTTCTTCTCTTCCATTAACTGCGCATAAATAACGTCAACGCCTCAGTTATGTGCTCGATATAATCTGACAACAACGCTGTAGTTGTAACCGACCTGCTGATGCTTCCTCTCCATCTCCACCAGCTCTCCCTCCACCTTCATCTGCTTCTCCTTCACTTTGACCAGCTCCTCGTCTTTAGCCTGCATCTCCTCCTCCTGCCTGGTCACCTGCAGCAGTGGCTTCACCTGTAAAGAGACGAAGGGCCTCAGCGCTTGTGCGACAGTGTGAAATGATCGTTTTTTCTCTTGGACCTTCACTCACCTTAGTGAAGAGTCTCCACCACTGCCAGTGACGCAGCTTCAAGTAGGCGGCACAGTTTCTCTGAAGAACCTTTAACGCGCTGAGCTGCTGCTGCTTTTTAGCAAAGGCCCTGAAGCATCAGAGGAGAACAAAGACTGAGTGGGACAACAACAAAATCTACATTTTGTGATCCGATTTGCACAAACGAGGGTTCAACATTTCTGCAGGCAGCAGCTATGAAGCAAAACCTTACTTGCGTGCCAGATATCCTCGACAGACGGCCTGGAAGTAAATGATGATGTCGGTGATCTTCAGGTCCCGCTCTTCTTCTAGGTGAGCCAGGACTCCAGCCCTGAAGAAGATCTTGCTCTGGCCGATACGGAAGAGATTTCCGTCCAGCTCCAGTGCTTGAATCTACCAAACAGAGGGAGACATGAGGAAGACGTGGCTGAAATGGGAGCAGATCATTTGCAAAACCTATTTTCTATTTCAACATGACTACTTCAATAACAAAGTGACTCCTAGCTGTTTGTGTGCTGTTTGCAATAATAACATTTTGGATCGGTGTTTACCATTCTCTCACAGGCCTGCTTGCCATCCATGAAACCTTTGGGAATGGCGTTTGGAGTGAGGATCTCATACCTTGATGCAGAGACACAGAGAGAGAAAGAAGCTGAGGTGAGGTGTGTCTTTTGTGAGTGACAGGACGAAACTACAGAGAGCAAATGACTTCACAGAAAGGATAGAAAGTCAAAGAATGACATGACATCAGTTGTTTATTCCAAAGACCACGAGGCTTCTAGGAGCCACATATCATGTCATACAGATTAAAAAAACACATTTCTTTAAGGTTTATCTATTCACAAAGACGTACATGT